CTAGCAGTTTGAAAGCATGTAAAAATGCAAGTAGAAAAATAGGGACCACCTTTGGTGGGAAGGCAACAGCGTTCCGGGCGCCTTCGGTGTTTAGTCATGCCGGCCACATGACCACGGAGATGTCTTTGGACAGCACAGGCTCTTTGGCTTTGAAATGGAGATGAGCACCACCCCCTAGAGTCAGGAATGACTAGCATGCGTGTGCAAGGGGAACCTTTACCTTTATATCGTATCTAGTCTAAGGTTTTTAATTAATTAATTGCCAGGTTGGTCTGGTGGTTAAGGTGCTGACCTAGAAACCAGGAGACCCTGAGTTTCTAGTCTTGTCTTGGGCATGGAAGCAGGCTGGCTCACTTTGGACCAATCACCAGGAAACTGTGACTTCTAGTCCCGCAATAGGAATGTAAGTCAGCTTGGTGACTTTGGGCCAGTTACTCTCTCTCACTTCAACCCACCTCACAGAGTTGTAGGAAAGTTAGGAGGAGGAAAGAGCATTATATATGTTTGCCACCTTGAGTTATTTATTTAAAAAAAATAAAGTTGGGGTAATCAGCAAGCAAACATTATTCTCCCGTCGTTGGACACACAGTAATCTTGCTGCAGTGGCCATATCAAAGAGGGAGGGCTTATATTCGATAGTTCGGCCCCCGCCCACTGACCACCTACCTTCCCACCGGGCTTTGGCCCCCTCTTTTTGGGGAATTTTAAAGGCTCCACTGCCTTGGAAGGGTTGGGGTTGGGGTGGCTGGTCAGCACCTTGGGTGTCCGGCCTCTTTTACGACCAGGTTTTCGGCCTTTTTGTCCAGGCAGATGTTCCAGGATGCTCCTTGCGGTGTTGTGCATGGTGCTTTTTTCGGAGATCACGTCGGGGGTAGGGAACGGGGTCTTTGGAATGACAACTGGCACAAAAGAGGAAGGAGAGGAGAGGGTCAAGGACCACCATAACCTCATTCAAAAGACTGTCTTAGGAGACTTAATGCATACAATCATTCTGCTGGTGGGCTTCTAAGGAAGGTTTAAACTTGGGGTGTCCAAATTTGGCACCTTTCGAGACTAGTAGACTTCATTTCCTAGAATTCCCCAGCCCAGCAGGACCGGCTGGAGAATTCTGGGAGTTGGAAGTTCACCAGTCTTTAAAAGTTTGGATTGTGCAGAGATGGACAAATTAACACTNACAGACAGTTAGATAGATAGACAGACAGACAGATAGACAGACAGACAAACAGATAGATAAAGTTCTGTGTCCATCAGGGCTATTGCACTCATTAGCTATATGCATCTTTATTGCACATCACAAATTGCATTTTTGCAAACTGCTTGCCCAGAACAGACGCCTCTGATTATGATTTCTTAATCAGCACAGAGACTGAGATTCTTCAAATAAAAGCCTCTGTTCTATAAAGTCTCAGAGGTCTCCGGCATCTTTTCCTGAACTCATTTAAAAGAGCCTCTGCAAAGCCTCTGCTTGAAGCTCTGGAGCAAGAGTTAATTTTAATTAATCAAATTAAGTGACTTTAGTATAAGGCAGCTTCGTGGACACTTTGAATGGGATCGTTTCATCTCTTTGTCATTCCCTTTTCTGAAGAATTACGTCCTAATTCTCCAACGAAGAAAAAAAGAAGACAGAAACGTCCATACCTTGATACTGAGAAGGGGGTTCAGACAGACGTCCATACTTGTGCTTTTTGCCATCTTTCCAATCTATTGCTAAGATCATTAAAAGTGAGTAAAAAGAAAATAACACCACATTAATCACGTTACAGTATTATCACTTTTTTTTCCCCCACCGAAGCAAATATGCAACATATTGCCCACTAGAGCTTGGACAAATTCAGAGCATCTTTAACCTTCGTTGTCAGCCATCTTTCTTCTACTAAGCAACTCAAGTCAACTTCTTTTTGCCTTCAATCCAAGGGAAAAAGGATACAGTACCTGCATTCCTTCAGATTACCCTGTTCTGGTTTATGCAATTTTTTATTTAAACAATGTGTAAGCCTGGCTATCTTATACACAATAGTCCTAATAGTGGAAAGGAAATGAACAGAGAAATGACTGAGCAACTACACTGGGGAACCAGTAGACCCGCAGAATTCAATCTGGGTCAGTCACCAGGACAGGAGGTTTTGTCTTCCGAGCTTTCGGACTTGTACTGGAGCCCATCCTCAGGGAATTTATTTCTAGCAGAGTGTGTGTGCTGGTCTCTGTATGGTATTTGTAGTGCCTGTTTCAAGTGGTTGTAGACCTATCTCTCAGAGCTGTCTAGTGCAGTCCCTTTTAACCTTTGTCCCTTTTTGCAGGCGTAGGGAGCCTCAAATTTTTCCAACTTTCAATTTCCAAACGTTAGGGGTGCTGAAAAGTTGGGACATGCCTTGGGGATTGTAAAGATATTTTGGTTACTCTGATATAACTTAAGTGTGCTTGGTAAGTAACTGCATCAATGTCATAACTGTTTAACATTTTGTTTGTTTCATTTGAGGGGGAGGGCACATCATCTTCTGAAACTCTCAAGCACTGCCACAAGACAGAAGTGTCCAAGAGTGTGTGGATAAATCTGCAGGGCGGTGGCACAGAATCGTGGCATAAATTCCACTGCTTGTGTGCATGTGAGAGAGACAGAGAGAGAGGGGGGGGGAGATGAGAGAGAGAGAAAGTGAGAGAGAAGGGGGGGAGAGAAGGTGAGAGAGGGAGAGAGAGCGAGGGAGAAAGGAGGGAGAGGTGTGAGAGAGGTGTGTAAGAGAGAGGAGAGAGAGAGGGAGGGAGGGAGAGAGAAGAGGTTGTCATATGGGCTAAAGAGGTGAGGTCTTCATTGTAATACTGTGTCTGATATTTTGCAAATGTATCCCTCACCCCCCACCCTATAGGTTAGGGTTAGGCTGCCAAATCCAGGAGTCAGCAATCTAATGCCTAGACATCGTGGCATCCTTGGTCTACAGGCCTCCGTAATGAAATTAAAACACATTTATTCATTTTCAATTAAGTGCCAAACGGCGTTTCACAAGACCTTATGGGGTTTCCATCTGAAAATTCTAATGCTCCCTCTAGACATTGTTTGGGAACTATTGGCCTATTGGCTGCAGCAAACGATTTCCTGGCTTTCGGAAAGGTGAAACTGTATTTGCAGCTGTCACGGATTTTGAGAGAAACAAACCCTGATGAGGACAGATGTTCTAAAGTGAGAAAAGAGAAGCAGCTGCCAAAAAAAAAACACCAAACCAACGACTCCTGCAACAATGAGAAACCTTGTCTATCCTCCTATGGCTTTCGAGAGAGATGCACACATGGAGAACGAGCTGCCTGGGTTAAAAACACAGGTGCTAGTTCTGAATTATATAGTAGTCATAACCAGAGACCACAGCAGCACTTCCAGCTGAAAGGTTTGTGGTCTGTGAAAATGATGATAAACTGAGCAGGAGGTTTACATCCATGGAGGCCGGGCTCTGTCTTAACTAATCAAGCAGCAACTTTACTATCCAGGGCTCCAGCGGCTTCTCAGCAGGCTCACCTGGATTGCTCCTTTCCTCCCCAGGCGCTCTCATTTTAAGGGGCAAAGCAGAGTGGGAGGGGGCTACCAATCCTGTGGGAGGAGCCATCAGAGGCACAAAAGCAATTCAAAGCAGGAGGAAGTTAAAAGTGGAGAAGCAGCTAGCAGCATAAATCAGGCATGGGAATTTGTTCCAAAAGTCATCCTAGTTTCTGTAGTAAATGAAGAGGACAGTGGAGAGCGGAACCTGGCTCTTCACTACAATCTCCTCTTATTTTATTCTGGATAAATTTAGCAGAAAGCTACACAAACAAACAAAAAATATCTTGGTTTTGATCAGAAACTCTTCTTTCCTTCCAAAGATGATTAGTTGTGTGGGAGAGGAGGAGGAGGAGGTGGAGGCAAAAGAGAGCAATAAACAGAGTTTTAAGGAAAACCTGCCTGGCGTGCATATGCCACAAAACCCAAGCATAATTTCTCTCGGAGAAGAAAAGATTGCAGCCGCTAGAGGAAAGTACAGGGAGGTAGCCTGGCGGTTGGTTTCATGCCTCATTAAAAGGCAAGGAGGCATCTGCCAACACAGTACTGGCTTGCCCCATGCTGGGATGATAAGCATATGGTGCCAAAGAGGCAGTATGGGCTCAAAAGAGCTCCCTTCAGCCTGTTCACAGAATGGGAAGCTAGGAACGTCTTTAAAATGTCACGAGAGGTAAAACAAAAAAAATCCGCCACTGATGAGCAGGAAGGTAGGGAGTTTGCAGGGATGAAATCCAAAAGGCTGCCAGCCACTACACATCCTAGGCAAAATAAGTGAGTTGTCAGCATCACTAGCAGAGCATTCATTACAGCACTGATCTTTAGTACTAGTTTACACACAGTGGTGGGATTCGTTTACCTTCCCTACTGGTTCGCAAATGGGAGAGCACGCACCGCAGTGTTCGCGCATTACTTCGGGGGTGGATGGCCTCCGGCCGCTACAGGTGCCCCCTCCGATATGAGTGATGTCAAACTGGCCACGCCCACCCTGGCTATGGCCTCCGACCCCCCCCCCGAGGTGAAACATAACCCTGATATGGCCCTCAATGAAATCGAGTTCAACACCCTGAACTAGAGAACCGTGGTGAGAAAGAATGAAGGATTAGACCAGGGGTAGTCAACCTTTTTATACCTACCACCCACTTTTGTATCTCTGTTAGTAGTAAAATTTTCTAACCGCCCACCGGTTCCATATTAATGGTGATTTATAAAGTAGGGAAGTAATTTATAAAGCAGAGTT